CTCTATAGTGATGTGGCCGGCCCGTTAGGTGGTGTTCAAATAGGATGTGTCACCAAAAACAATGTTCCCGAAACTCTCTAGTTTTTTATTAAATTCGATCCTGGCAAAGGTGCATAATCACTTACCATCGCCAATCTCAATATGTGATGCAAGCATCACGTAAAGCATGGTACTAGCTGAACAGCCCGAACGCACAAAGTTATTACATATAGGGATCAGATCGCTCTCGAGTACAGACCCGAATTTCACCAAGTAGTTTTCATCTAGTTTCATTGAGTTAACGTTCATTGCCTTGATAATTGTTGTGTGGTGAAACCTATATTAATGTGATGTACTTACTTGAAACAACTAATATAATTATGATTATACCTTCTATTTAAACATCCGCAAAATACAAGAAGAATAATTAAGATAACCTTCATGTTCCTTGCTTTCTTTGCCTATTTTTGTTCCTTGTTTTATTTGCACTTCTATGAAATCCCAAACATAACAAAAATATTAATTTGTTTGCATCTTCGTTTGATTTTCAATGTTTTCTTATGACTTGAGAAAATACCAAAAATATTTTGTTTTTTCTTCTTCTTTTCGTTATTAGTTTCTTGTGATCTTAGAAAACATCAAAAAATCCTCAAATTTCTTTTACGAGCTGTACAATTTTTTTTTGGAAAATCACAAAAAACATTTTATATTTTGTTTTCCTTTTGAAAATTAAAAGGCAAAATCCCTTTGGATTTTCTTGCCCTTTTTTTAATGTTTCAAAAAGACCAAAATGGTTTTGCACTGCTAGTTGTTAAGTTTCAATTGAAAACCACAAAAAAAAATCATTCATTTTGCGTCTTGATGCACTTTGTGCTTCACAAATGAAAAAAGAACAAAAATGTTTTCCTCTTTTTTCTTTTTTCTTCCTGTTTTGATCTAATGAAAATATATACAAAAAAACTCCTCTTCTGTGTTGTCTTTATTTTGCGGATACTCTAGCACATGGTCTTTGTTGCACTTATTGCTTTTATCATTGAACATTAATTTGAGCAAGCATTGAGCAATAATGATGATGTATTGTGAAGTGACCGGAAAGGCCGGTATGATTATGTTTACGTTGGTTACGTGCATGCTATTATTGAAGCTTTACAACGTCATATTTTAGTTACCATGTGCATACTAACAATTTGATGAATCATGCTTTCCCACGCTAAGTTGTTATCAACTAGAGAATTATACTATAATAACTAAAGGTAGGCCAAGAAGGTGCTCTCCACTCGACAATGTGCAGGACCCCATTAGAGGTGGCGTACGGCTTCAACCCGCTCACCCCTCTTGATCTACTTCCACTACCATTCCAAGAGAGGACACATATGGATGCCAACAAGCGAGCTGCGTACATCAAGAAGCTCCATTAGTCCACCAAGGCCAACATCGAGCACCAAGTTCAAAACCAAGCCGCCAAGGTCAACAGACACTGGCGTCATCCAATTTATCGCGCTGCGAATCTTGGGATACCGCACTGGAAGACAACCCAGCAGGCGTTTCCCACGCAGAATTACCAAATTTTCTTCCACTATTATTCATGCTTAGCAGCCTAGCACAAAGAGTTGGTGATAAACACGATTAGATTGAAGGGACTAGTGTTAGCGATTGATTTAGTAGTCATTTCGAATCAGTGTTAGCGATTGATTTAGTATGCTTTTTGAATTAGTATACACTTATTTAGCAGCCGCAATGTACAATAACATACCCAGTCATGCATCATTTTAACCACCAAAGTCAGCATGTGATTGCCCATA